TTCCATATAATCTTCAATAGTTTTATCCATCCTCATTTAGAGTACGAAACATAGTATTTCCCCCTCACTCCAAAAGGATAAGGACACCCTGGAGCGTATCCAACGGCGAGCCACGAAATCAATTCGAGGACTCAAATTCAAACCTTACGAAGAGCGCCTCCATTCACTAGACCTTTACTCATTAGAGTATAGACGTCTTGGAGGTGACCTTCTGATGGCTTATAGTATCCTTAACACTTCTGGACATCCTCTCAAACACCTACTTAAGCTTAGTTCCAACACTAACCTAAGATGTAACACCCAAAAACTGGAGACACAACATAGCAGAACGAACTGTAGGCACAACTCCTACTCCTTAAGAGTTGCCAAATGCTGGAATTCGCTGCCGGCCGAGCTAGTCCAAGCGACTTCCCAGGAGTCCTTTAAGAAGCAACTTGATCTATTCTTAAGGACTAAGGATAGTATCACACTATGATTTACTAATTTCTTTTCCTCTTTTATTGTTAACATACTTAGGTTCCTGTCTGGAGGATTTGATGATCCCCTGCTACTAGACACGGAAGCCTGTTAAGCGAAAGCTTCTTCTATTCCGTCCACAACCATTTGAACCATTTGAACCATTCAGTGTGGATTTTAGTATTTCCATGACATTTAACAATGTCCTCAAACCTATTCTCCTCTTGAGGGTGATAACCGAGTGGGCTGCAGTAACTTTGACGGGCGGGATTTCGGATGGAAGCTTCTTGATGTTACGGTACAGTTCCATGTCTTTGGTAGAGCTCATTTTGTAACATCTGGTCATTCGACCTCCCTAATTCTTGTGAAGTTGATAGTCATTTGGCTATTCAGTAATTGTTAATGGTCACCAAATTTTCCTTCTCAGACTTAGGAATGAAATATTAAAATCTGCGGCAAAGAGTACATTATCAGACCCCACGGGGTGATATTAGAGTAATCACCTGAAGTTTTTGCTCACCATACTTACACTCAATTTGAGGAAGATGTATTTCCCAGGATATATGCTCAGTTATGTTATTATTTGGACTATTACCATCGGAACACCCACAGTTTGGGAACCCTAGTGTTAGTAGAAATTATGGCTCTAAGGTGGCAGCCGACACATATCACCAACACTTATCTTTCTTTATGTATCGCATAATGTCTAAAGTTTCATGCCCTGAATGCTCACTTCACTATCCATGATATCTGTCAGAACTATGACCTGGTGTCCGAGACGAATAAAAATGTTTCAGAGCTTGACAGATATGAATGAGGAACTGCTAAACGTTGTGCGCTGTCAAGGATCTGATGAAAAAGAACAGCTGTTGTTTTTTATACTCTTGAGTGATGTGAAGGCTGTCGCTACTGCAGTACATGAACCAAATATGTTTCACCTGGATTGCAATTTGTTAGTTCCGGGACATCGTGAATCGCTTATCTGGTGGGTTCAGTACATACTGTTGATACCTGCCCCTCTAAACGAAGAAGCACCGCATTTCAAGTGATAGCAACAATGCGGAACCAGACCCTGGGTAGATTTTCAACCCATTCACTCTGTTACAACCAGTACCAAGCTAGAAGCATTTATTTGTCGAAACTCGTTTGAATTTACAATAGGTTTATTTCCGACACTGAGACAACAGCCACATGATATTACATTCCGTTGTTCGTGGTTAATGGACATGGCAGAGGGTTATTCATTCAACCAGCATGCATGGATTGAGAGCGATATTTTGGTCACGTTTTTCTTATTCCTTGTGGATCCTGTGTAAGGAGGGGATATATGGTGAGTTAAGTTATAAATGACAAACCTGTGCTTTTTTGCTTGTGCGCCAAGAGATTTACACGACACAAGTACCCAAACCACGGGCATGAACGGTTAACTATGAACTCGTAATAGTACATGGTTGAATCAGTTTCCTAAAGCCGGTGAGACTATCCGTCACAAACCTTTCTTACTGATGAGGCGAGGTTTGTCGCAACTAATGAATTACATGCAATGGGACAGTTGCCGTTATATCCTACTCTCCCAGTACACGATATATTCGAAGTTCTTCTTGGAAGCTAACTTTAGTTCTTGATTTCCAGTTGTTGTCTTCTGAGACTAGAGAGGGGATATTAGATCAAAATGAGGTACTGGTTCTTCAATGAAATGCTTGCTTTATCTGTTCGGTTAATACTCTGATTACTTTCTCGGAATTTGTTTTCCACCACCGATCCTAGGGTCATGAAGCGTTTAGTCCGAGATGTCTACTTTGAATTCCATACTAACCCCTATCATAGGACTCAAACGTGTCGTCTTTGTTGTTACGAAGTAAGAACTACTTGAGACGCGAATGCTGCATTATGCTTCGGAGATTAGAGAAACAGATAGCGAAAAAATACTACTTAAGAAGAAGCAAGTGAATAAAGGTAACGTCTGACCAAACCCTTAGAAACACAGTTGGAACTTTGCCTTTAACCTTCCTCACCGCAACTGCCACATGTCCTATGTTTCCGAGTATGTGATTTGGTGTATTATGCAACAATAACAACTACAGAATGGAGCAGTTTCTCGAGGCAGATGGTGCTAAATTTAGGACTGATTAAATGCAAATCATTTTCGGTTGCTTGCCTTGTTGAATATTCATTGGTTATATGTGATTACTGAGTCATCAGGCCACTCTTTCGTCAGTTCTTTACTCTTCCAGGTTGTCACATGTGCTGAACTTTACGTCTCTTCGGACGAAAACGTATCTCAGGTTAAACCTAAAACCACTAAAGGCTGAAAGTCGCAGGAAATCAAAAGCTTTTATGCCTTCGCGGTCAACTCTTTAAACGAATTTCATCGAGGGACGAGACCAACGTAGATGATTCTGAAAATAGAAGACATGGCTTAATATTTATTAAGTTAGCATTTGGGCTCTACAACTCGAATAAAGAATAGCTATGACAGACTGATCTGTTGTTTTGGCCTGATAAAGCCTTTAAGTTTACGACAAAATTATCTAAATAAACTCATTAACGAAATGAGGTGGTCGAGATAGATTGTCAGAAAAGGCAGGCCATGTGTATCAAATGTTCTCGTTGCATGAAGAGATTGGATAACTCGCTGGGATCATAAGAAAACAGTTCATGTAATATTCCTCGATTTCACAAAAGCCTTTTGGCACAATATCTCATGAACTTCTCACTGATCCAATTTTATAACGGCCCCAAAAATTAGTGGAAAACACGATATTTAGTACCCAGGTTAATAGAGTGCATGCAAGTTGGATGGCCTCAACATCAGATGTGTAGTGGAAAGAGAACGATGAAAACCCCTCTGCAGCCTTTTTGTTGTACAGTACTGTCATCTACTTGTTTCTTCTCCCTGTCTTATATTTTAACCTCGTTTAACCACACCTTTTGTTCTTCAGTCTTCCTCATATGAGCTTTTATCATGTGATTTTGATCAAAGACTTATCTTTTGTTACCCAATTTTCTATTTCATGTTGCCGGACTATTGACAGCAAGGTCGTTTTTGACAATGCTCAACGTCACGGCGTGGTTCACCTTGTGGCTGTTAATCTTTTGACTGTCTGCTTAGGAGGATTGCTGGAATCCCTGCAGATAGATATTTGATCCCATATCGTTGGAAATATTTTATTGATTCTCAGGTATCGAACCCTTTGGTATTAACTGTTTCTTTTATTGTTTAGCGCGCTACTCTGCGTTAGAGAATCTTCTGACTGTATAGCACAGGGTGTACCGTTTGAGGTATTTTGTATTTTTGATATAATTTGTTCTATTTCATAAATTAGAACCGTTTAAATTGAGCACACAATTTGTGTTTTGACATAATTTAATAACAGTGTCTCAAAAACGCTTGGTAAGCTATACAGAAGAACGTAGTCTGGCTTATTCGAATACATTTTGGTTCTTCAGTCCTGTGTTCAAACCGAATACTGACAGTTCGGTCGCTACAAGGAGTTTGGAAAGGAAACATCTTGTGTCCATTTCTATTTTTAATCTTTGTTAACAATCTGTTGGATAAAAGTGGCCTAGTGGACGATGCAAAGATCTGGAGGTCTATAAAAAAACGGAAAGGATGCACTTGAGCTCCAAATACACCTTACAATAATAGAGGAAGAGGTATTAGGCACTTGATTAAAACAACCTGTCTAAATGCCATGTCGTGAACATTCAGACTCGTTTGACACACAACATTCTCCATGAGAGCCCGCTCTCCATGTCCCCTGAAAGCGTGATCTCAGGCTTGTAACCATAGAGAACTTAGATACCGGCTCAAACTACTTGATGGATGTAGCTAAAGCAAATGCTGATATCCACTTTATGCGGAGACAACTTGGTATAGTTACTCCAGAGTAGTTCCTAACATTGGTTACAATATACACAAAGGCCCACCTCGAAGTCCATAATATTTCTGTGCCCCTGTATTCAAAAGAGAGACAAACCGTTTAGACCAAGTACAAAGACGCTCAACCCAGTGACCGATAGGTCTAAAACATAGGTCTCACGAGGACAGGATCCAACAGTGGATTGTTCTTGTTGAGCTTTAGGAAAATAAGAGGTGATCTGATAGTGACATACAACATATTAAGTACGCTAAGCCACCCCAACATAAGCACATCAACAGAATATCATCAACACGCTCTTCAAAGCAACCCTTGGAAGAATGCAAATAAAACGGTAAACACCCATGTACACGCTTACGTTTTTAGCAAAAGTTACTCCAATTTGCAATGTTACGCCAGCCGATGGGACCACAATCCTATCAGTGAAGAGCTTGGAGAGGAAACTTGACAAACACATACACATCTACAGGTTACCGTATTCTTGGACCAGGTTTGTCTGATGTCTGTCTCGTAAATTATGACAGTCATCATTACTGAAAACCAGTAACTACTTCTTACGTTTCTCATCTCATGACGAAGATATTGGACGTTGAATTTTCGTGAGGTCACAAGTTAAGTGTGCGCGGTACCTCATAAGTCTATAAGTAGGTTTGAGGTTCAGATTTTTGAGTGGATTTATTCATAATGTGCAGTTAATTTTGTTCTATTGTCGACTAGCTGACTTCACTTCCCAATCAAAGAAACTCATTCCCTCGTTTTCCAAATCATCGTCCTGAGTTTATTCAAATTCCACCATCTCACAATTGTGGGCAACCAAATTGTTTGTTCTCCGTTGAGGAGGGAATGTAGTGTGACGACTGTAAAAAGTGGTATCACAAAAGGTGTACACGACTAAGTCCGACGGCTTACAAAAGATGCTCGAAGCCTAACTCGCATTGGCTTTGTGTGTTCTGCTGTACGGATAAAAAGGTACTAATACAGGAGGCTATGGGCCTATTGGCTTTGGCCTGCAAGAAAAACGATGGCGGAAGCACTGATAACAGGAGCACTGACGATGAAGAATGTGTCAGTGTAGTAAGTGCTGCTACTGGACCCATTAAACACCTGACTGCGGTTGACGGGAACGTGAAATCTCCGTTGACATTAACGAGAAATGAAGTGTCGCTTGATATTGACATCGGCAGTCATACACCTCTAGTCGAAATAGAAGATCCGGATAAAACTGTCACCGTTCCACATAGTCCAGGTGTGGCTGTTCTGAGTGGTGACAAATGGACTTCGGTAAGAAGAAAAAGGCTGTAGGCAAAACGCAGCTGGTCAGCAAGACATTGGAAGGGACTTTATCAGAAGAAAAATCCTCACCGCGTGACAAGACAGATCTCTCTGAGAGATCAGTCATTTTTCATAAGATAAGAGAATCTTCAGACACTGAACCAAAGGCAAGATTTGAACATGATCTCAATCATATTAAGACATCAATAAGTAAACTACTCCCAGATACAGTTTCAGGAGTTAGTATTTGTAAGCTTTATAGAATAGGAAGAAAGGTGGATTCCGAAAGTTCTCAGAAAAACCGCCTCCTAAAGATTACATTCAACACGGTGGAAGAAAGGAACCTGGTTCTAAGTAATTCATGTAAACTGGTTGGATCCGGAATATATGTCCGTGAGGATCTCAACCTAGCTGATCGTATTAAGAGAAGAGCTGCAGAAGCGGAAATAAACGAGCGTCGCCGAAACGGTGAAAGAAACCTCGTTCTTAAGGGTTTTCAGATTGTAAAAGTTCGGAGCAAAACGATCCCCAAGCCACTCTGGGTGGCAAGGGAAAGCTCTCCACAGACTTAAAAGTGTGCTACACAAATGCTCGCAGCCTACTGAATAAAATGGCGGAGCTGAAGTCAGTGGTGGATAAAGAAAAACCGGACGTTATCGCTGTCTCGGAAACTTGATTAACGTCAGAAGTATTAGATAGTGAAATCCAATTGACCGGTTTCACAACCAGTAGGGCTGATAGATTAAACCGAAGGGGAGGCGGGGTTATTGTGTACACGAAAAGTACCCTAACCATAAGATTAGCTGAGACAGTAGCACATGTTTCAGGGACATGTGAACTGGTGAGATGTAAGTTGAAATGCCGAAGGCAAGATATTGAAGTAGTTGTAGTTTATCGCAGTCCAGAATGTGTAGCAGATGATTTTCTCCTAAGTAAACTTAAGTCCTGGTGTAACAACGGTAAAAGCCTTATAGTAGGCGACTTTAATGCACCATATATAAACTGCGTTAACTTAGAAGTAGAGTCATCTATATCGTCGTTCGACTCCAAACTGTTAGAAACCTCGATTGGACTAGCATTATTCCAACACATTAGAGATCCCACAAGATACGACTTAAGAAACTCTCCCTCTCTTTTAGATTTAGTCTTCACACACGGTGATGACGTTGGTCAGACGGCTTTTCTCCCACCACTTGGGAGAAGTGACCATGCAGTCATCTTATTCAAATTCATGGCTGAGATTGCTTGTCAAACAATTGCGCCGGCCCGTTCTAACATATGGAAGGCAGATATGCAGGCAATTAACTCCGCAGCATCGGCTGAGAACTGGGAAATTGACTCAAAGGCATCAGTACAAGAGGCATGGACTCTATTCAGGCAGTTATACAATCGGGTAACTCAACCATATATACCCTGGACTGTCCCAAAGAAAAAGAAGCACGGACATCCCTGGATAGGGCGGGATATTCGACGCTTACTAAGACAAAAGAAGAAATGCTGGGATGTTGCCATCCGCCTTGGCACAGCAGGTACGATGGAACACTACAGATCGATAAGAAACGAGTGTATAACTAAAATTCGGGAAGCGCAAAGAAAATATGAAATGCAGCTGGCAGAATCTGCACTCAAGCAGCCCAAGAGGATATTCTCGTACATAAACTACAGAACAAGGATTCATCACTGGATTCCCAACCTAATTAAAGTAGGAAGTAAATCTGAAATGATAGAGGAAGATCAGGAAAAAGCTGAGGTTATGGCTGACTACTTTGGGGCAGTTTTCACTCAGGAACCTCCTCTAGAGAAAGAACCAGACCCAATTACAGAGTCAACAAACCAGCTGCTCACCGTGGACTTCGACCAAAACGATGTGCTTAAGGCTCTTAGCACCCTAAACATGGAGAAGTCAACAGGACCAGATGAACTACACTCTAAAATCTTGAGACATATTGCCGAATATATCGCAGCCCCACTGACTGTGATATTCAAAATGTCACTTGACCAAGGTGTGTTACCTATGGACTGGAAGGACGCAATCGTCACTCCCATACATAAAACTGGTCTACGACAAGTTCCATCAAATTACAGACCCGTAAGTCTCACCAGTGTTGTAATTAAAATACTGGAAAGGATAATCAAACGGACCATAACAGCATTTATGGAAACCAATAACTTGCTGAACATGGCACAACATGGTTTTAGAAAGGGTCTGTCCTGTACAACGAACCTCCTTATAGCTAGGGAGCTCTGGATTAATGCGCTAGACAACGGAAACTCAGTGGATGTTGTCTACATAGACTTCAGTAAGGCTTTTGACAAGGTGCCAACTAATAGACTGCTATTGAAGTTGGCAAACCTTGGTATTGCCGGACCTCTTTTAAAATGGATTAAAGATTTCCTAGTAGGTCGTAGGCAAAAAGTAAGAATAAATTCCAAGTGTTCCATCTGGAGACCAGTACTTAGTGGAGTACCCCAAGGTTCCGTCCTAGGTCCTTTACTTTTTATAATGTACGTTAATGATCTTACAAGTATAGTACAGTCTCCAATGTTATTATACGCTGACGATGTAAAAATTTGGCGAGTAATAACTGGAGACAAAGACGCATTCACTCTTCAGGCGGACTTAAATAATATGATAAACTGGTCTAAAGAGTGGCTAATGCCTATCAACTCGGAAAAGTGTGTCTACATGCACTTGGGGGATTCAAAGGTTAATACGTACAACATAGGGGATGTGTCATTACCCGTAGTCCGGTCTCATAAGGACCTAGGGGTGACAGTGAGCAGTGATCTTAAGACGACGGCCCATTGCCGGGAGGTCGCAGTTAAGGGGTTTCGAACCCTTTGGGCTTTAAAAAGGACATTCACTAAGCTTGATACTACCATGTTCACCACATTATACACATCCTTAGTGAGAACTAAGTTAGAGAACTGTGTTCAGGCTGCAAGCCCCTGTTTAAAAGGTGACTCAGACATACTAGAAAAGGTACAGAGGGCAGCTACGCGTGCAATTCCGGAACTCCGGGGTTTATCATATAAAGAGCGGCTTGAAAAACTGAACCTCTTTACTCTGTCCTATCGCAGACTAAGGGGAGATCTAATATTGATGTACAGAATACTGAGAAATGATTTCGGACCTAACTTATTCTCTCTCTTTCTTCCCACTAGATCGGGACACCTCAGAGGACATAGCAGGCGAGTAGAAAAGCCAAGAACGAACAAAATACCCGTGGCATACAGGTTTTCACACCGAGTCATCAATACTTGGAACCTGCTGCCTGAAGCAGTGGTATCCGCACCTTCAATTGACTCTTTCAAGAGAAGACTGGACACTCACAGAAGCATACTAGAAAAGGAATAACATAGGCCGTAGGTCTTCTGTCCTTACTACACAAATCTGAATCTGAATCTCTATTGCTGTATTGAGACTGTAACTGACTTTCAAACTTTTTATCATACTCATCCATCTCGGAGGATTTTAAAGTGACAGTTGTCCTCTTCGGGATGCGTGCTAAACAATTCAAAAAAGTATTTTGGCTTATAAGCCGAGTACTTTTCGTAAAGCATACATTGGTATCCTAGTTTCTTCGTATAGGGTTTATTAGTTGGTATGATTCACAGAATAAGAGCACTAGCGATAGTCTGACATCAGGTCTGAGAAAATTATACGTTGTTGTGGATCTGTTTCCTGGCCGTCTATGAAGACTGGTGCTAACTTTAGTGTCGTCTTGCTGTTGGCCAGACTGTACAAGTTCGGGTCTACGATGTCTTAGCGAGAGCAGTTTCGCCACGTGATTGCAAAACCTGGCCGCTCCAAGCTGGGAATGTGGATGACTTTGTATCATCCAGTGGTAACAGTATGTTAGTTATACGGAAGTTAGGAACCGTGTGTTTGGGTTTAATGTTGATTACTCAATGTCGCCATCTTGAAATACTGACTTCGATGGCTTGAACATGTTATAAATATCATCCCAGATGTCTCCACATTGCAAATTAATTTTTAAATTTTGGACTTTGTGAGAAAATCAAATTAGTGACCGGTTGGTAACATGGCGTCGTAGCACAAGAAAATATATAGGACTGGCATCCTTTCGTCCATCACAACTACCCGGATGAGATCCTAGAGATGGTGCACTTCAGTGGCTTGAGACACGAACGGCTTCATACCTGCTCCTTACCATACAACCTGGTGAGTCTTGGACAATCTGTGAAGTATAGTGGAAGTCATCAGTTTTGAAGCAGTAAGCAGACCTGTGCTCTGACAATTGCCGCATACCTTACGTGTGACATTTTCCAAGATCGGAATCACGATATGTTTATTCCTGAATGATGTAAAACGCTTTGTACACCAGTTGTTTTCAAACATTTCAGTCAGTTCTCTGACCAGGACTTCCACTTCTTCTTGAAAAAGAGGGGTTGTTGTTGTTGTTTTAGATCGGTAACTTGTGACTTTTTACGAGTAGAGGTTCTTTACGGATACCTGGATCGACCTTCATGGACTAAAGAACACAAAGCGGACTGATTAAGGTTCTAAGATTAATAAGGCGGTTAAACTTTTTCAGAGTGCTCTACTCGATGTCCACACGTCTTTGGAGGTTACTGATTGGAGTACCATCAACTTAACAGGTTATTCTTTCTGCTTGTGGCTAATGTATGATGAAATATTCCCGATCGAAGCTGCTACCTTGACGCGGTGGTCGTGCTTGCCTATCGTGATGACCCAACCGAGCTATATTGGCTGGAACATATGTTCCTGCAGGTTCTACCATGCCAGGCAGGTCGATTGGCGAACGGTAAGACTAAAAGCAGCAACTCAAGGTCTGAGGGCGAAGTCGTACTGCTGACTGTAGAGAGGTGTGACAGCAGTAAGGTGTTTCCCTCGGACAACCAGCATGACAGCGATGCTGCCTTCCCACAAGGAGGGGTGGGGTTAGAAAAGGTCGACCCTAAAAATGCACACCTCACCTTACCTCACGGATTTCCGTCTCCGGCGGTAAGGCCCCTTGAAGAACGGAGCTAACACGTCAAAAACCTTCCACAAAAAGACCGTGCGCGACCGGCCTCAAGCAGTTGTCCCTTGTGCTCTGCGGTCACGCTCCCAGGTCGTCAAGACCAGCACTAATCCAATTTCCTTTTCAGGTTCATCAAGAAATACCCTTCCACGGTGTGGGCAGCCGGGAAGTGACATCAGCCCTCATACCCGTAACAGCACACGAGACAAAGTTGGTCACATTCAAATCCTTCCTACACCTCCTAATACCTCTCTTATCCTCCCGACTAACCCTCCTCACGTCTCTTTATCACCTCGCACCGCTAGGGCAAACGATTCGAGTACGTGGAACGCCATTCCTGGTCTCCTGAAACCACGCTCTAAACTACACGTAGGAGCTTTTAACGTACGAACACTTTGCCAAATAGGACAGCAGGCTTCCTTAGCTAAGACTTTAGAATCTCGCGCCATCGATGTGTGCTGCGTCTCCGAAACGCGCATACAGGATCCAAGTAGCGTCATTCATTTGACCTCACCATGCCAAAATAAAGAACCGACTCGATTTACGCTTCGTGTATCTGGAAGCCCTGATTCCGCTTCTCGTGGCCTCGCCGGCGTAGGTATAGCATTGAGTCCTAGGGCAGAACTAGCTCTCTTAGAGTGGATCCCAGTAGACAGTCGTTTGTGCGCTGTCCGACTAAACGGAACAGTGAGGATCCGAAAAGGTAGGGACACTCGTCGTTGCCTCTTCGTCGTCTCTGCCTATTCTCCCACTGACTGCAGCTCAGATGATGTAAAAGATGAGTTTTACAGAAAGCTTTCGGACCTTCTCCGAAAAGCTAAGCGCTCGGATGTAGTAATAGTGGCTGGTGACTTTAATGCTCGAGTAGGTAAACTAAGCGATAAGGAAAGACACCTAGGTGGATCCTATGGTGTCGTGGCTCAAAGAACAGATAATGGCGACCGTCTGTTGCAGCTATGCTCAGATAACCGCCTGTTCCTTGCAAATACTAACTTTAAGCATAAGGAAAAACATCTTTTAACATGGCGACCCCCTAATTCGTCCCAACGTTGGACCCAAATAGATCACATCGCTATCAGCCACCGATGGAGGGGCTCGATAGAAGACTGTCGCTCATTCTGGAGCACATGCCTAGATTCAGATCATGCTCTAGTGCGAGCGCGTATTTGCTTGCGTCTTACTGGACGTAGGAAAGATCCTGCAAGGAAACCTCCTAGGGCTCTACTTAATGATAGTCAAGCTAAGAATATATTTCAGGAACAACTAGGAAAACAGTTAGGCAGCCATGTATGTGATGCCCACCCCGAGGCAGCATGGAACGATATCCGAAAAGCTGTGGAAACAGCAGTGATATCTGCTAGTAAGGTAAACCGTAAAGTTAGGGAGCAACACTGGATCTCAGCAGCATCTATCGCACTGATAGATTCTCGAAAACTCATTCCACCTGGCTCTGAACATAATGAAGAGCGGAGTCAGCTTAAGCGCAAGCTGGCAAGAAGTCTACGCAATGATCGCGAACAGTGGTGGGTAGCGAAAGCAAGAGAGATGGAAAAAGCAGCGGCAATAGGTAATAGCAGACAATTGTTTAGACTCGTTAAGGAAACCGGAATTAGGAACCCGACCGTTAGCGAAACAATCTCAGAGAAAGATGGACATATTATTCATTCTCAATCCAGGAGATTGGATCGATGGGCAGAACACTTTAGGGATCAGTTCAACTGGCCTTCAGCCACACTTCGGTTTCCCACGATCTCCAGTCAACCTGAATGGCAAGTTAATGTAGGTCCTCCGTCCCTTTACGAAGTTGAAAAAGCCATAGGAAATCTGAAACGAGGGAGAGCAGCAGGCCCTGACAGGTTTACTCCTGAGATTTTTAAGGATGGTGGTCCAGTATTAGCAATGAGATTAACTGAGGTCTTAGGTAGAATTTGGGAACTGGACGTAATCCCATCTGACTGGTCTCAATCACTGATTGTGCCAGTTTTTAAGAAAGGACAAAAGTCCTCTTGTGACAATCACAGAGGAATCAGTTTGACTAATATATTGTCTAAAATATTAGCCTCAATAATACTTCGACGCCTAACTAAAGCTCGTGAAGAGCAGACTAGAGAAAACCAGGCTGGTTTTCGACCTGGACGTGGTTGTATCGATCAGATATTCACACTACGTCAGGTTCTAGAACACAGACACACATTCAGACGCCTCACAATGATAGTATTTCTCGACCTTAAGGCGGCATTCGACTCTACTGATCGTGAGGTTCTATGGCAGTGTTTGTCACTGAAAGGAGTACCAAAGAAGTACATTAACCTTATAAAGGCTCTCTACTCGAACACAACTGGTAGAGTGAGAGCTTATGGCGAACTGTCATCAGAATTGATCACCTCAAGTGGTGTTCATCAGGGCTGTCCACTCTCCCTATTCTTGTTCAACTTTGTCATTGACGTACTTTTAGAGATAACACTCTCCTCATCTAAATATACAGGGGTTGAACTTCTACCAGGAGGTTCACTTGTTGACTTAGAATATGCTGATGACATAATTTTATTTGGTGAAGACGCTGACAAAATGCAGAGTCTTCTGACCACTCTAAGCAACAATGCAAGCATGTTCGGGATGCGATTCCCTCCCTCAAAATGCAAAATGTTGCTTCAGGATTGGGTTACATCGACACCCGAACTAGTGATAGGGAGTGAAGTAGTTGAGTGTGTCGACCGCTTCACTTATCTTGGAAGTCTCATCAGCCCTTGTGGTCTGGTGTGTGACGAAACCTCAGCACGGATACAGAAGGCTCGACTAGCTTTTGCCAACTTGCGTCATTTATGGCGTAGGCGAGATATCCGTTTATCAACCAAAGGACGTGTTTACTGCGCAGCAGTTCGTTCCGTCCTACTTTATGGCAGTGAAACATGGCCGGTAAGAGTAGAGGATATCCGTAGGTTACTAGTATTTGATCATAGGTGTCTTCGAAACATTGCTCGTATATCATGGGACCATCGAGTAAGTAACACAGTTGTTAGGAAACGGGTACTAGGTAAGGATGGCAAATCAATTGATGACGTAGTGAAACTTCATCAGTTGAGATGGCTGGGACACGTGTTACGTATGCCCAACGACCGACTGCCTCGACGTGCTATGTTCAGTGGTATAGGAGTAGGTTGGAAGAAAGCTAGGGGCGGCCAAACCAAAACATGGCACAAGTCCATGAAGTCACTGACAAGTGAACTGAGTCATGTTGGTAGGTGTAGACTACCTGGTTGGGGACCGCGAGATGACAGCAACCGATGGTTAGAGACCCTGAATGACATGGCTCAAAATCGTTTGCAATGGCGCAGGTGCATCCACTCTCTGTGTTCTCCCAAACTCTAATCTTCTGAATTCTTCATGTCCCTTTTTTCCTCTTTCCAAATTTCTTTCACTGGATTATACTCTTTAAATAACATCTCCAAACCCTAATCTTCCCGATTACTGCTTATACTCTTATTACCTCTATCACTACGGGATTTGAATCGACAAGTGCATCTCTGTGCTAATGTGGTGTGGCAACTCGAACTGATGTACGTACGTACGAAGTTCTACGTTGTTACTGACTGACTGACTGATGATGAAATATTTGTCAGATAACGGATGAAACTTGCTAACACACTATGACCACTAGATAAATCAAACTCTAATCAAGTTTCGGAAAACTTTCTGAGGTATGTTCCTGCTGTCGAACTCACAATTCACCAGAGCAGACTAGTGTTCCTCCAAAAGTTCCAAGGAACCCACAGTAACCTAGTGTTTTTCAAATCACGGATGAATTTTCTCACCATTTTCATGGAAGTGTAGTTAGTGATCGTCTTCAGTTGTCGATGGGGTGGATGCCAGCCTTGAATCTAGATCGTTTTGATGTTTGGTTACAATGAAAGATGCCTCATTTTGTATGCATCGATCCGTTTCGAGCGGTTTTTTTTTCAGGAAGACGCAAGATAAGTTTGACACACATGAACATGACCAAAATCTAAATAAGTGCTCCAAAAAATAGTCCCACATATATGCAGCCCATCCAGTGCTAATTGCAGTATGATCAGTTTAAGTCCAGACCTAAGCTTCACAGCAAAAATGCCAATAGCAAATCGTCAGTGACTCTAACAGATGTTAGTTCTGGCTAAAAACAGGTTCTGATATATACATAGCTTCAGTAGACGATGCCCGTTATCCCACTTGTTATCCAAAGACTTAATCCTGTCTGCACATACAAGTCCTTTTTCGAACGTACCCTATTGGGACCGTCTAATTATTGGCAAAACTCATTCTTTATTGGGTCTGAAGCTCGATCCGTCAGTGAGTAGGCAGGCGTTACATAAAAGTGGTTTCTCATGGTAGTTTTTTTCTTGTCTTGAACCTTCTAGATTAGCAGCACATGACTTAACAGAAATGCAGTTCATTGATAACGTCCACGCTATAAGACGTAGTTCCACATCAACACGCCAGTTCCTTTGAGGCCCAGGATCTACAATAGTGTGAATATTGGTTTCGGCGGGATAAGATAAGACGCATGGCTTCAGAAAATCTGTATCAGTTATTGCATTCGATGACAACATTAAAAAGATCGATCATTTACCGACTTGAGACCGATTAGAGGGGACGAAGTTCAACAAGAATGAACTTCTGAGTCTGATAAAATTTATGTAGGTGAATGTATATACCATTTAAATAAAACGGAAAAGTTGAAATAGTTGAAAATAAAGTTGCGTGTGATAAATTGATCGTAAATATCGTTTGAATGGATAGTAAAACAGAGCGAGTAGAACAGTTTCTTTGTTAGCTATCGTCAAATTTGTGTGTGATGGGATGCTGCTGGAAGGCACAAACTGAAGCAGGCTAAATTTTCAGGGGACAAGCCTCACATCATTTGACCTGAGGGTTAGTATATAACATTCTAATTTCATGAGTTACCTAAAATTAAGCACCAATTTAAACATGATTTTCACCATTTCATTTGATTAGGATCTGTTTTTAGTGTTTTCGACGCAGCTAAATAACAAGTTATTTTTTCCCCTTTTTAGTGGATGGCCGTGTCGAATTGTATGAAGTATGTCAGTATTCATATTGTTTTTATTTCTGATTTAGGAAGTAAAACTTTATCGTACTGCACGCGAAAGAGAAAAGTAAGTCCCATCTTGGAGTAGAGAAATTTTTAGGTATGACAATCTTGCTGAACTCTATGCTGTTATCAACACTATACAATGTTTACAAAAAGCATATATTAAGGACTATGTGGAATCAAAAGAGTTGAGTTAAATAGGCTTTTATTATGCTCCTAATAACTTAGGTATACTGCTGCCTGTTCAAAGCTTCTTGTCCAGTACAAAGCTGCATTTAAACAAGTTCAAGGAGATGAATTTGCTACTGTAGAGGATTTCATGCGAAAATATAAAGTTTGTCAATTGCAAGAATTTGTTTCATTTACATTTTAGATGGATTGTCCAGCAGCTCTAGAGCGTATTAAGGAGGGAAGACCGATAACTATCAAGGATGATAAACAAAATATAAATAAAAGTATTGCTGATACTGTTTCCGTAAGTTAATTTTGATTAGTAAATAAGTTTGGAACGTAACTATCGTTAGGTTTTATATTGACTATGCCAATAGTGTTTTATTGAGATTTATCCCTAAGAAGTAATCTGATTGGTGTTCTTTGTAAAAACATTGAAGAAAATAATGTTTTTTGTGATAACTTACTATGTGATACTGTTTTTTTATGGTTCTACTTATATAGATTTTTTTCATCTTTTATCACCGGCTTATGTACTGAACAGCTTATCAATATAGATTATCGAAATTTTAGTTCTTCTAGTGTCATAAGGCTGTTTATTTCATAATCTAATATGACAATATACGTAGTTACTGATTTCTATTTCCATTGCTTAAAGTTCCCACTTTTATCGAAATCTGGCTATATGAACTAACCTAAGAGTTTCTTTCCAATAAATTTTCATATTTTATAATTATACGTTCAAATTAATCTTACAAGGAGGATAACCAAGTCTAAAGCAAACAAATCATTTACAATTGCAACACATAGATTGAGGATTGTTAGTAAAATAAAATAAAATTGTTAGTGTTGAAATAACTAGTTTGTAATGTTAACTCGAATCAGTTTATAGGTCCGTTGAAATGATCAGAATAAATATAGGTAACATAGAGTTAAACAAATAATATAACTGCCAATCAGACCAAATGCTTAGTCGTAGGTTACTTACCGTGAATTTAGTAGGGAATTATAGTGGGCTAAATAGTAACTAACTTCTCTATGGGTTTACAAAATTATCAATAATTTCACCCTAATTTATTTAAACACAAACATTAGCACAAGGAGGTACCAAACAGATATACGCCACATAAGTCATTCAATTTGTATAAAGACTTGGATAATAATCCCAGTAAAATAATAATAATAATAGTAATGGCGATAAAAAAGATGTGTAAGTAATAATAGCAATAATATTTGGATATTGTAAATTTAAGCTGTGAATATACAAAGGGGGAAGTTACATGTAAATTAGTCCGGTTAAATCATCCTGTAATCAAGATGACTTTTGACTTATTGGGTCTGAAGTTAACCGATATAAAGGGGCGATTAGACATATTTCTTTCGTACACGAAGTTCCAGTTTTTAAACTGGATAGCCGTTGCGCTTTTCGTTTGGAGGACTTTGAGTTTGACGGATTTTCGCAGATAATTAACTTGATAAATTACTGAAACTGATTGATTCATACTAGTTGTTCGATTGGTCTAAAAGAAATACGCTAAAATCGGACTGGTGATCGTTTCAACTGCACCTTTGCCTAGCCACACTGCAAAATGTTTGCGAGGACGGTAAACTAAATCCTTAGAATATCTAGCGATGTAACTTCCTCCACAAAAGCGGCTGAATTGATGGGTACAAAAATATAAATGGCCTAAACCAGCCACTCCTATTTCCGATATTCAATTTTACCATAAACATTCGGACAGTAAATGAATTACATACTCAAACATGTTTACTTATAATAATCTTTCTTGTTCTAAATAGTCAGTTAAGAAGTGTCATATTTATTGCTTTAGTTTTCTTAACGTTTATCCTGAAATTTACATTGTATTATTCCTATTTTGTTTTTTGTTCTAGTTGTTTATTACTATTATGGATAAGCTGCGACTAGATATTCGCGCAGTGGATGAAGTAGTACTATTCTGATATTGATAAGTTTTCTTACAGCTCCATCCAGATCTTCGAGAATTGTATGAAACCCTTTATCGGTTGAGTATTCTACCTGCAGATTTTGAGGGTAAAGATAGAGTGAAAGCCTGGTAAGTTTAATTTAGCAGATTGAAAAAATTTGGAAGTGACAATAGTTGACATCCATTGTTATGTTAAATGTAAGTCATATGTCTAAAAGCCATAGATGCTGTTTTTACTCCTGTCTGTTAGAGGATTCGAATCCATGATCTACTCTGAATAAAAATAGATTATAATAACTAATTGACCATAGTCCCTTTCGTCATTCCCATTTATTCAGTCGATCTGTCAACCAAATCTGGATAAACCTACTGTTTAAAATTATCTTCACTCCAACTTTTTACCCATCGAGTTTCCTGATAATCTTCACCCATTGTATATTTAGCTACGGAAATATCACACTTTCAAAACATGTTTACTATATGTTTGTGATTCAGAGTAAAAATGGCCTGAAATATATATGATTGGTTGTATAGGCTTTTGTCTGTACTCAAAGCTAGTATCTTAAATAATTTCAAATACATAGTACACAGTTTGCTGAATAAATCTTAAAAAATGGTTTCTAAAATAGGTTTCCATTTATTGTTTGCCTTTCATTAGGCTAGACAAAATGGATCAAATGCAAGCGTCTGATGAATTATCTGAAGCTGAAGTACGACAGATGCTTTTTGATTTAGACTCTGGATATAATGCCTTCAATCGGACATTGCATTCTGGCCAGTGAATACTCGACAATATATATATATATATATATATATATATATATATATATATATATATATATATAATATGCTCTTCAAAGTAGAAAATTTTCTTTTTATACCTAACTTCTATTATTTAATTGCTTCTTTTCTTTTAACATTCGTGTAAATTAAGGACTGTCACAAGAAATTAAAAGTAATATTGTGGTTAGCTTATAGATTTATTATAACCAGCCTGTGTACACTCACTATTTGTGGTGGTCCGTTCTAAGTAGTTAAAAGGTTCATGTATCTGAGTAGTTTTATATGTTGGTGGCGACGCTACATATGAGGTCAATCTATATACAGTGAAAGCTAAGGCGGTCTGTCGGAATCGCGGCTATCGTTGGCGCCGTTTTGCTGTCGGTCAGACTGTAAAAGTCCGGGCCTACGATGTCTTCGCGAAAGCAGTTTCGCCACGTGGTTGTAAAACCTGGCCTCTCCAAGCTGTGGATGTGAATGACTCATTGTGTTCAATTATCTTATTCTCCGAAAGATTATTAACATCTAGTGGTAACAGTACGTTATACCTAAGTTAGGAAACGTGTGTTTAGGCTTAGTGTTGATTATTCTATCGTTGTAAGCAGTTGTTTGGCCGCTTTACTAGTTTTCTTTTAATTCTGCACCTATAACCGATCACCTTGCGAACTCAATTTTTATTGAGATGACTATTTCCACCAATTGAGTCTCTGTCTCTAAGTTTTATTCCACAAAGCGACTACTTGTGGCCATTGCTTCACACAACCACATATTTACTGTGTGACTAGTACACATGAAATAGTGTTCATCACTAGTGTGAATAAGTCAAAGGCCATCCGATTGGTTGGAGTGCATGGGTAGAATAAATCCGGTTTAAAATAGTTTGAGTAATAGACCTATTTCAACTGAAAATCCACTAGGAATCAATGAGTAACGAACAAAAGTGAAGCACTAAACGTAGAATGCGTTAAGAAACGGATCACCCAATGGACTGGGATACAATGGTTTTTTACATTCTAATGTAAATGCGTATCGTAACCACTATTTAATGGTCGGTGAAGATCTGTCTTCATTCGCTACTTACATGACTTCACAAAGTATAACCGCATCAGTAATTCTAGATTTTTGTTTTAAAGAAGGTCAGGGTACGGCACTAATATCAAATCTCAAATTACTGAGCTTTGTTGAGGTTTTATACAATTAGTAGGGTATTTTCATTGAAAACTGTTGTCAAATAGAGAGCGATTGAACCATATGATCCACATAATTCCTTGAAATTATGAAAATGTTCATACATTAACAACCTACTTACCTCATTTATTTATGATAATAAGTTTCTACTAAAAAAATATTTGTAACTATCTTCCAGCATTTAAATTTGTTTCATACAAATCAAAATGATTTCTAATTAATCTACATTGTGATAATAAACTTGTTTATTCATATTAGTTTTAAATTTAATTAAGTGATTGTATATACAATTATCAGAATGGGGGGATCGTGGATATTGTAGTAATTTTTAATAGTTGAATTAATGGGTCGATTAAAGATGGACCAGCACGGAAAACCTGAAAGCACTGGACGTCCTTTTTGTCCTAGTATGGGACTCAGAAGTGCGCATCCACGGTCCCCCGTGCAGGACTCGAACCCAGGACCTTCGGTCTCGCGGGAGTTCAACCGTGTCTGTTGTAGAGGCAGTTACTCACTGAAGACAATGGTGGACAGTCTCGCATTATGATGGATTGGTTGAAGTTAAACATTAGCACCATTGGATGCCGGTTCAGTGGTCTAGAGGTTAAGTGTTCGTCCGTGAGACCGAAGGTCCGGGTCCCGCACGCGGGATCGAGAATACCCACTGCTGAGGAGTCTCATACAAGGACGAGACGGCCGTCCAGTGCTTCTAGGTTTTCCATGGTGGTCTAGCTTGAATCAACATTTGTACATAGAATAAATGAACTAAATATATAACGAATGTAGACGGTACATACTGATCGTTAGCCATAAGCCCCCAAATGCCCTGGTATGGCCGAGAGCGGGTTGGGTTCGCCCTCCCTCTTGAAATACTCTCATACGGCCACGCGTATACAGCCTCTGCCAGGGAAGTCCTTCTCACTGCCTTCTCGTGGCGGGGGTGTTGTTTACGAAAATGAGAGGACGAAAGGCGAATGTTCGGCGCTTTAACCGGATCCCAAACCAAATCAATGGTGCACATGGGCTCCGGTATCCTGCGGGAACAAATGGCGTATGAACCAATTTCTTGGTCACCGACTACCATGGGACTGCATCTCCTTACGATGCTCCACTGCCTTGTGGGTTAGACCTGTAGGTCAAAGGCTCGGGGTGTGGCCCCCCTAAGAAAACTACCTGCTTCGGTCTGGGCAGCCGGGCAGTATCACAGCCCACACACAAATGATGAACTGTCTATATTTATGGAAACTAATTTTCTCGCTTCGACTAATAATCAAGTGATTAAAATTATTATTATTATTTACCACGTCATTATTCACCCTCTTTTATTCCTACTCTGTCTATACTTATTTTTTCGACTTATGCAGCAGCTCGTCTATGGTGGAAATTCGACTCTATCTAAACGTTCTCGAGTCACTGTCCGGTTGAAAATTGTATGTTACCACCGAATATGAGTATTGAAGCAGTTTTTCTGAAACCACCACTCAAACTGGCTGTCTTCAACGTTCGCACACTTATGCAGGTTGGACAACAGATAGGACTGGCTATGTCTTTAGAAAGTCTTAATATCGATCTTTGTTGTCTATCCGAGACCCGTATTCAAGACTCTGGTGAAGTACTACAAATTCACTCTACATCTGTCGCTTCGAAAAGCTTGTTTTACGTGCGCTTATCCGGGGACCCTGTGGCATCTTCGTCTGGTCTTGCAGGCGTTGGTGTCGCACTAAGCGCTAGAGCTGAGGCAGCACTAGTCTATTGGATCCCCATTAACAGTCGGTTATGTGCTGTTAGATTAGAAAGTTCCATCAAAGTGAGAAGAAATCGGCGTGAGAAACGATGTCTTTTCGTCATCTCCGCCTATGCTCCGACAGATTGCAGCCCGGATGCAATCAAGGATGAGTTTTACCATCAGTTAACTGTTCTTCTCCAGAAAGTGCGTTCGACAGATATTGTAGTGCTAGCCGGAGACTTGAATGCTCAGGTCGGGCGTCTAGGCACAGAAGAGAGTCGTTTAGGTGGCCGATGGGGACTCGTTGGTCGCAGGTCAGATAACGGGGACCGTCTACTGCAACTGTCCACAGACCACAACCTGTTTCTGGCTAGCACTAACTTCCGACACAGTCATCGCCGACGTGCCACCTGGCATCCTCCCTCTGCATCCTAAGCCTGGACTCAGATTGATCACATCGCGATCAGCTACCGCTGGCGTGGTTGTGTACAAGACTGCCACTGCTTTTGGAGTACCTATCTGGACTCCGATCATGACCTGGTCTACGCCTATCTTACCATACTTTTCACTGGCTAACGAAGTGACCGCCACCAACGGATTGATGTTAGCAATCTGGTTGCAACTTCTGTTGCAAGGAAGTATCGAACCGAGCTAGCTTCTAGGCTAGCTACCATTCCACCGAAAAGTATAGATGAGCATTGGTTGCAATTGCATGACGCCATGAAAATGGCGGGTACAGTCAGTTGTGGGTTCGCGAAACGTCCCGCTTATAAGCACTGGGTTTCTTCTGGTTCCTTACAACTCATTGAAGCCCGTCGGTCTACTCCGTGTGACCGTAAGTTTGACCCTCTGTGGCTGGTGACGACTGGTCCATCAAATGAGGCAGAAGTCCGCAAGGAACTCCAACTCTTGAAGCGCTACAAATCACCTGGCTTAGATGACTTACCTCCGGCTCTTTTTAAACATGGTGGTGACTTTCTGACTAAGGAACTGACTGTGTTGTTCACAAAGGTCTGGAGCTAGAGAGTGTACTAACGTCATAGAATGAGTCGATGGTTGTCCCTATCTTTAAAAAGGGTTCACGTCGTTCCTGTAACAACTATCGGGAGATATGTCTACTTCCGATTGCGTCCAAGCTATTGGCTTCCGTCATACTTCGTAGGTTGTTCAAAACCCGAGAAAGATTGACCCGCGAGGAGCAGGCTGGGTTTCGTTTTGGTCGACGATGTATTGATCACATATTCACCCTCCACCAAATGTTAGAACACCGCCATACTTATCGAAGGCCAACAATCGTAGTGTTTCTTGACATCAGGGCTGCCTTCAATTCGCTGGATAGGACTGTTCTCTGGGATTGTCTATTGAAGAAGGGTGTGCCTGAGAAGTTTATTAACATCCTAAAAGCCCTATATACAAACACCTCAGGCAGAGTGAGGCCATACAACCACCTCTCTCCATTGTTCTATTCGAGTAGTGGGGTTAGGTAGGGTTGCCCAATCTCACCATTCCTCTTCAGCTTTGCCATCGGTGACATTCTGGAAACAGCTCTGATGAATGTAAGTAATGGTGGTGTGAATCCATTGCCTGGAGAAAGACTTCTCGACCTTGAGTATGCGGATGATATTGTCTTACTGTGCGGTAATGCCCAAGGCATGCAATCCACACTTTATCAGTTGGCAATCAATGTCCATAGGTATGGTATGTGCTTTGCACCTTCGAAGTGCAAAGTACTTCTACAAGGCTGGCAGGATTCTAATCCCGTACTCATCCTGGATGGTGAACAGATAGAAGTAGTCGAGAAGTTCGTGTATCTAGGTAGCTGCATAAGTGCTGGTGGTTGTGTGAGTGATGAGATCAATGCAGCTTATGCCAATCTGGGCCACCTTTGGCGCCTTTGTCATGTTAGTCTGGTTGTAAACGGCCGGATCTACAACACGTCGGTGAGAGCAATTTTGCTCTACGCTTGTGTAACCTAACCTCTCCGAGTTGAGGACGTTAGAAGACTCTCTGTGTTCGATCATTGCTGTCTCCGAAGAATTGCTGACATCCAGTGCCAACACCATGTCAGTAATGCAGAGGTTCGGCATC